AAACGAGGCTGGAACCGGTGCCTGCCTTGGTTATAAAATGCTCAGGTATGGGCAGTTGTCGAAAAAAGTAGGGTGCCGTCGTCAGCATTGAGAAGAAGAGATTGAAATGCTGCTGACAGGACCAACTGGGTCGCGCTGGGGTGGAACGAAAGCTCGCTGGTGACATACATTCCCTCCCCAGCAACGAGCGAAGGCACCTTGCAGGGGACGGGAGTCAGTTGAACAGTCGATGCAGAAAACCGAGAGTGCTAGTCGTTGCTCAAACTACAGTTTGGGTCGGGCGACACCGGCAGATGGGGAGGATGAAGATGCGTAGGTCGGGATAAGAGCTGCGACTAGAAGATGAAGAGGTGTGCCGCAACATGCGTGAAAGATGGCTGTCGAGGAAGAAAGCAGGAAGAGAGGGGATGAGGGGATGTTTCGCCGAAGAAGAATGCCACCAGTGTATCAGAACCTGTGACAATGCCCGGTATGGACTGTTGCGGCAGGAGCAGCGGAGTGTTTGGATATCGCAAAGGGCGGAAGAGGGGCAGTAAGGAAGGTACGGACTAGGTAGGCAGGTAAGGTATGGAAGGAGCGTTGGTGATGCCCAAGACGATGATTGACGATGATGACTATGAACGCTAGCCTCTTTATTGTCACACAGCTATGGAGACAGTGCTGAGTTTCTATGTCCATTCAATCGTTGCCTTGGCAGTGAAATCGACAGGAAGCTAATCACCATGGAGAGGGGGTCGAAGTCCGCATGCCGTGTGTGTCGCGGCACAATATGGAAGTAAAGAACTTCCTCAATGCTTACTGACCTCCGCGAGCAAACAAGTTGAACGGTGTCCTACCGTTCGTTGGCCTCAAGAACATGCAACAAGCCAAGGGGTTGTGACCTTCTTCCAGTTGAGACTCGATCAACTTGACCAATAACCTACCGTCGTCTTCGTACTCTTACGCCAAACTCTTTCTCCATTGCCTCCCCAACACGCTATTGGGCTTGCTTTGGGAGCGGGGGGGGGAGGGGGGGCGAGTGAATGTAAGTGCGACGTCGACCATGCCATGGTATGCCGCAGCCAGTGGATGGTCTTTGCACAAGACCGAATGCCTCTGTAGCTGGAGCACCCTGCCCGATCCAGCTTAAGCACCTTGTTGCGTTACCATCATGACCCCGGCCCATGGTCGAGACGGCCGGCCATGTCCGTCAATCTGACCTGCTGTCTCTTGATATATGACCCGACTTGAGCTGCGTGAGACCAAGGCGCTGATTGGCCCCAAGAGGAGTGCATGAAGCGACTCGCAACCTTGGAACCAATATCAGCGGTGGCGAGGGGTCTCAGGCGGTCCTGCCGTGCTTCTATATGTGAAGTATGAAGGACAGTGTTCAGGCAACTAGAGAGTAAGTAATCATATATCGTCCAGGACACTCAGTATAGAAATCGTGCGAATCTCTACTCCAGGGGAATGGCACTAGCCTTCGAAATGCACTACATCGATCGAGTGGCACCACCCACATACCCATGACGGATAGTAAAGCAGGCGTCGACATACACCTGCCCCTTCCTTGCTGAGTTGAGCAGGCGGCACTAGGGATCCGGCTCCCTTGCTCACCTGCATATGTCCGGCTTGAGATTGACACCGACCATCCTCACACAAATGATTTGAGAACCTTCTGTCAGCACACCTACCGACTTCGAAGGAAAGGCATGAAGAAGCTCGGTCTTCTCCTAGCCGTAATCCAGGCAAAGGCCCTTTGCCATGCGTATGGAGTAAGTGTACTAATTGCGGGACACTTGGGTCATGCCTCTGTGTGGCGACTTGAGTTGAACCATAGAGGCGCCTGTCGACTCTTCAGACTGTCGCCTGCAATGCGAGCGACATCACAGGAAGGACGTTCAATCGCGCGGAGAATTCATGCTAGCCAGTCTCGAGTCACATGCGGTAACGATCAAAACGGACGGTGTTGTTTGCTCGTTCTGGTTTCGAGGAAACTGCAGGCTGCCTTCCGCGTTGCCAAGCTGTCCTACGCGCGGCAGACAACCAGCTTGGCTAGTCGGACCAGGTGGGAGCGGGTCATACCTAGGTAGGCATCTCCATCGATGGGCTCGCTGCCCATGACAGAAACGTAACCGATTTTGCTTTTGCCCGGCCTTATCCACCGGAGCCGTGCTGGTGACGCAAGACCTTAAAAGAACAGAATTGATGGCAGTCAGCGTGGCTTATAGATGAGGGAGCCGAAGATCGTTCAGAGCTCACTTTGGATCCCGCGACGGTAAGCTTGATTGGCAGGGCCACAACCAAGAACTCGCTGGGAAGCCGCTGACTTTCGATACAGAGGATTCCAAATGAATGTTCTTGAGATCGTAGAAGTTTCAGGCATCATTCTACCTGCCCAGGCAAGAGGGAGTTTATGGAGGTCCAGATTACTGCATGTATGATTGTGTACGGATACTCAAAAGATCGTGATGGTGGGTTTCCTTTCTTTTACCTTTGTAGATACCCTGTGTGTGTTCTCAACAATGGAGTAAGAGATGGGATGTTTCGGATCTGATGGGCATGGCAGTCTGGACGAGAAGATAAAGATGAAGTTGGCAAGCCACTAGCACGTGAAAAAAGTAGCGGCCCCCACTGAAGTTACAGTGGTAATTGCCTCGCTTAGGTCCCCTATGTCATCACGGTGGGCACGCTCACGCAAGGTCCATTGTTCTCGGACTGATGTTAGCCTCAACGGCAAAGAAATTTGCGTCCTTTAGGGACTTTCGCCCAAATTTTCACCCCCCACTCGCGGATTGCCCAAGGGCATACTTGCGCAACAAGACAGCACTCTACCATCATTGCTTCATCCCGAGGGACGCACCTGACTGATGATGGTTTCGATGGACCATGAGGACTTCTCAGTCAGCAGCCAGAGACACTCTAGGTCGTGGCATCCAACCCAAGGAATAATAGCTACGAAGTCTTGACAGTCAAATGTCCCTGCCATGCGGGAAATTTGCACCTGGTCTGCCTAGCCGCATACTTGTACATCAGAATTGACGGTCTTTGGACTGCACGATCTCAAAAAGGATTCGTTGGGGCAGAGAGAAGCCGCGGCCAAATCGTATTACGCTCATTACTCGAACAGTCGACATGCACGTCTCTGCCAAGCAGTCTGCGAATGGGGGCGAGATCGAGCGGCAAGATCATTCCAGGTGTCTGCTGAGGAGCGTACACATAAGTGTCCGCAAGGATTATGTCTTGTATCTGCCAATCAATGACTTACAAAGTCGGCTGCCTTGGGGGAAACTACAGAATCGATATCACCATGGTACTGAGCGACAGCAACCTACGTCGAGCGACATAGAGGAGAAGGAAGCTGGCGGCGGCTGGGACCCTGGTCGGCTTCCACAGTCCAAATCTCGGTGCTTGCAAGATTATCCGCGTGTCTCATGCGTACTCCCGCCAACCCGGGCTCAACTGACCCTATCACGGAGCCGGGAGACATGTCTCGTCCGAGGCGTACGACATGAGTATGGCAAGTTGCAGACTTGCAGAGCTCGATTTGCTTACCCCTTGGCTCAGCCAAGACCGAGTTTTAAAGCAAAGGGAACACAAAGATTCTCGAGCATTCATGCTGGCCCTTGTGTGGCCTCTTGATGTCTGGCGGGAGATGAGATGCTGTCGGTTTGCATATCAAGGACGACATTGTGTTCGGAAGCAAAGAAAGCAATGCTGCAGTTACGGCCGTGAAATCCCGAAATTCTTGGAGCCGCGGCCATGAACGACGTCTTTATGATCGCGGCCCATAGCAGGCTTGAGTACTAAGCTTGAAGACATACTCTCGCCTGCGCCACCTGGGCATTGCTTGGTGAGGTAAAGTGACTGGTTCTGCCAAGTCAAGGCTATCCGAAAGAGCGGCGCGTCGTGAGAGCATCCGCAGCTTACAAGACATGCTCAAAATTTCTCGAGGGAAGTCATCATCACGGGACAGACCGCACTCTTGGCTTCTGTCCCTTATTCAAAGCAACAGCCAACAGCAAGCATAGTCATCTTTGATGATTGCTTAAGCTTTGCCGTTAGGGACTCGTGTTGATGAGCTATAAGCGTATGGGTTCTCTTCAAGCGTGAACTTGTCGGTGATCAGGCAATAGGTAGTCGAAGGAGCACTTCCTTGTCCAACAAAGGATATCGAGGCACCGGACCTGGAGGAAAAGTCTCAAACTTCCCCGTTGCCGGTCGTTGGCTTCGGTCTTGTCTTCAGATGAGCAGCTGACGCTTTTATTAACATTCTTGTCTACGTCCGATCATGCCCTTGCTTTGTCTCCCGTCAGACAACGAATCCTTCGTCGTTCGCAGCCTTCATGGTGCCAGCACACTTACAAGCGGTTCCGCGACATTCCGCCGTTGCCTACTGAAACCCCCTGGTTGGCGTTCTCACCAAGCCGCATCGTCGGTAGCTCCTCCCCCGTCTTGAACAGCGTCAGCCACATTAGCTCTGGCGACAAGTGAGCATCTTGCGGTACCCGCCTTTCCGGGAGTTCTCCTTCCTCTCGCCTTTTCGACCTATTCTCCACTCGAGTTTTTCCAGTGTACTTACCTTACTCTGTGTGTCCTCGGCCTTCTTCAACCACCTCCTCTCGTCTTCCAAGCGAGCACTTTTCCCTCGAGTCACTCGTACAATCAAAAAGGACAAGTCTGAGGCAACCTAGGTGCTCCCACTAGGCTTGCTCTGGGTCCAGTACCCTTTTTCTATCTTTCCTTCGTCTTTTGCAAGACGTGGTCGTCTTGAACTCCTTCTTCCCCTACTACCTAGCCTGTGTTGACGCTTGGTTCGATCGTCTCACCTGGCGAGAAACCATCTCGCCACTTCTCGTTAACGACAGAACAACTGTTTCCGACGTCCTGGGCACTTCCCCAACCAAACACTGTTACGCACCACGTCCTTCGAGTCGATAACACCCTAGCCACGTCAGTAACCTCCCAACAACAGCAAGACTCTCATCTTGTGACTCGACAAGCAGATCCAGTCTTCAGTCATGGAACCTCTCGAGCACGTCGAGGCCCCTTCGGCCCAGCAGCAAACGCTCTGGGCTCGCATCAAGATCCAGTTTCGCCGCGTCGGGAACATGTTTGACAGAGCCGACAAGCGCATCGGAAAGAGTACCTTTGGACGGATTTTCCGTCTTGAGGATAGCGGCCATGTAAGCTTCTTCCATCTACTTTTCCTCGCGTCTATGGTCACTTGCTTCGGTGTATATGCTGACCCAGACTTTCACAGCCTAAAGAGGTCTCTGGCGCGACTTTTTTCAAGGAGGTTCGAGCAGGATTCACAACCTTTGCCACCATGGCCTACATTATTGCCGTCAATGTAAGTTGGTGCAACAATTACAGACGTCCTTCGTCTCGACTACATCTCCTCTAACACTGATGGATAATTGCTACAGGCTATCATTCTGTCGCAAACTGGGGGCACCTGCCCCTGTGACCAGGATGATCGCCTCTCCTGCGACAGCATTGACTCGTACAAGCAGTGCAAGGAGCGTAAGCCAAACTCTTGGTTCGAGTGGGTGGCATGCGCTTACCTACGACCCTCAGGAGTTCGTCTCGATCTTATCACCGCTACTGCTGCGATTTCAGGCTTATCCAGCTTCCTCTTTGGTTTCATGACCAACCTTCCCGTCGCTCTTGCGTGAGTCTCTTTCTACTCATTCCCTTCTGCAGTCCTATAGTAAGCTTTGGCTAATGCGGGTTAGACCCGGAATGGGCCTGAATGCTTACTTTGCCTTCCAAGTCGTTGGACCCAATGGCTCAGGCCGCATCTCTTACGAGGTAGCGCTTACGGCAGTCTTCGTCGAAGGGCTTATATTCATCGTTCTTGCCTTGACCGGCTTACGTCAATGGCTAGTCAAACTGATCCCGGCGACTATCAAGACCGCCACAGGTGTCGGCATCGGCTTCTTTCTCACAGAGATTGGTCTCTCGTATGCTGCAGGTATCGGTGCCATAACTGGAGGCTTCAAGGCCACCCCTCTGGCCATCGCTGGGTGTCCGATTGAACAGATTAACCCACTCACTCAGATGTGCGACGGTGGCATAATGTCAAGCCCTAAGGTTAGTGACTTAGACCATATGGAGTTGATAAATTGACTGACAACGCTGCAGATGTGGACGGCCGTATTTGCTGGCGGTATCGTCACTGCCTACCTGATGTCCTTTCGGGTCAAATATGCCCTGATTATCGGCATCGCCCTCGTTTCCATCCTGTCGTGGCCGTAAGTATTTCTTTCACCGACGCCTTCAACATATACTAACCAGCTGAAAGTCGCAATACAGATATCACCTACTTCCCTTATACCGAAGACGGCGAGGCACGCTTTGAGTTCTTTAAGCAGATCGTCACGTTCCATCCTATTGAGCACATCCTCAATGTTCTGAACTGGGACATATCGGCAGACAAGACTCACTTTTCTATCGCCCTTTTCACGTTTCTCTACGTCGACATCATTGACGCTACAGCCACTCTCTACTCAATGGTTCGGTTCTGTGGTGTTGTCGACCCCACTGATGGCGACTTTCCCCGTTCGACAATTGCCTACTGCTGCGACGCCATTTGTATCTCCATCGGTGCGCTGTTCGGATGCTCGCCTGTCACAGCTTTTATTGAAAGTGGTGCCGGCATTGCTGAGGGCGGCCGCACAGGACTGACAGCCATGGTCACTGGACTTTGTTTCCTGGTGTCGATATTTTTTGCCCCTATCTTTGCCTCGATTCCCCCCTGGGCTACCGGCTGTACCCTTGTGCTTGTTGGCTGCATGATGATTAGGCAAATCAGTCAGATCAACTGGCGATACATGGGAGACGTTCTTCCGTCTTTTGTCGTTATGACCTTTATTCCCTTTTCCTACAGTGTAGCATATGGCCTCATAGCGTACGTGTAATTCCTTCGTTTCTCTCTCATGAACTAACATCTTTACTCTAGGGGCGTTTTCGTCTACGCGGTACTCAATGGCCTCATCGCACTGACCGTCTATATTAGCGGACGACGCCTGGAGCCTCGTGACTACGACTCGAAGGAATATTGGTCTTGGAAGGGTTATGGTATGGGCAAACCGCCCTGGTTCGTCCGGGCCGTCCGCAGCAAGGGTTGCATTGCAGGCTCCGACGACGCCCCTGACGAGATCGATGAAGTCAGCAAACGGTCCACCATGCAAGAACACGAAAGTGCTTACGGCGACAATCGTGAGGGCGCGGTCTCCCCCAATCGGGCTGTCACCCCTCGCTCAATGCACTGAGACAACGTAAGCAGCAAGCCTGCGGCGGGCACCAAGCTGCAACGAGACGGCCACAGTAACCTTCAGCTCCAAGCTGGAAGCTACAATAATGGCCGATGGACGCCCTCGGTTGACCAGAAACTAATCGGCTCCTGCAATGACTCGGAGTTTGTATTTTTGGGAGCTCAAAGCAGCCCTTGCGAGAGACTCAAAACCTTGTAGATAGACATCTGGTGGCGGTCTGTTGCACGCAATAGCTAGAGCATCTCGAAGTAATGTTGTCAACGAACATTGTCATCATGGTGCAATCCTAGTGTTTATGTGAGAACCCCTGTATCCGGTTCTAAACCTCCAAGAAGGGTGACTGCATGCTCGTAGCTGGTTGATATCGGGCTGTTAGGGCCAACGACAGGATCGATGAGGTTTTTGTCACCGGCGTGCGGTGGACGACGTCAGGAGACTCGAGCGAACAGTCGTGACAGAATGCTGACGGGACCTTATCATTAACTACCTGATTATGTACATTTAATATTCAAGTACCTATGAGCTGAGATAGCACTTGCGAAGCCCACAAAATGAAGTGCAAGGACGGTATGGAAGTGACGCAATTGACGAGGATTAGGCATTTCTAGCCCGCCGTACCTGCTCAAATTCCCAGATCCACCAGAGCTTCTCTCTGGCGCAACACGGTCTGCCTGGACGGTGGATCGCCCTCCAACCTCAATCGCGGACGAATAGCTTTCTCCAAGTCCATACAACATTCGTTCTTGCAGCAAGAAACGCTGAATTTCAACAGCGCGGCTATTTCAGGAAGAAGTAGCGAAGATATCTGCGGCAATCACCTCGACAGCATCACAAGCCTAGGGCATTTCCTTCCCAGCCTCCGACACGATGAGTGGCGGATGGAACACGAGTATGCCACAGTCGTTCGCTTTTCTCCTCCAATATTTCGCTGACATAGTACCTCCTCGCAGTCGAGTCGGACGCCGGCGTCTTCACGTACCTCCTCGAGAACCTCGGTGTCAAAGGGGTGCAGTTCGAGGAGCTTCTTACTCTCTCACCTGACGACCTCGCTCCGCTCCAGCCTGTCTATGGCATCATCTTCCTTTTCCGCTACCCCTCCGAGGGCCTGCCTCCGCGACCCAAAGAGTCCTACGACGAGGACGCCGCCGAACGTCTGTTTTTTGCGCGCCAGACCATTCAGAACGCCTGCGGCACCCAGGCCCTTCTGTCAGTGGTCATGAACAAGAATAATGAAGTCGATATCGGTGATCGCCTGGGCGAGTTCCGCGAATTCGCCATGGCCCTGCCACCCGAGTTCCGCGGAGAGGCCCTGAGCAACTCGGAGCTCATTCGGGAGGTCCACAACAGCTTCGCAAAGAGCAGCCCTTTCGTCGACGAGACGCAGAGGGGCGACGAGGGTGGTGAGGACGCGTTCCACTTTGTCGCCTACTCGTCTATTGGAGGCAAGCTGTACGAGCTTGACGGACTACAGCCAGCGCCCATCTCGCATGGCGACTGCACCCCGGACGAATTTCCCGTCAAGATATCAGGCATCCTGTCAGACCGCGTAGCCACGTATGCGAGCAGTGAGATTCGATTCAACGTCTTGGCCATGGTCAGGGACCCGAGGATCGCAGCGGCAGAGATTGGCGATCAGGAGACGATCGCGCGCGAGTCCGAGAAGAGGCGACAGTGGCAGTGGGAAAATGCCCTGCGCAGGCATAACTTCGTGGGCTTCGCCGGAGAGGTCATGAAGGGGGTTGTTGGCGAGAAGGTCAAGGCGGGTAATGGGGCCTACGAGGCGTGGATCAAAGAGGGCCTGGAGAGAAGGAAACGTGACGAAGACGCCACGAGGTTACGGAGAAGGATGGGCGGCGGAGGCGGAGACGTAGATGAGGAGATGATCGGTTAAGCCGAGTTGTGGAAAGCCAATGGCTCATAGCAATAGCATTGCCTGCATGAGCCCTGTTGACCATGGGAAGGAACTACACCCACGGAGTGATCGTGATGGTCCGCCTGGATATATCTCGACTTTAAGCCATCACTTGAATGTCTGGGAAAACACTGCTTACAATTCCCTTTAACGTTCTTGCCGAGCAAGGTCCAAAGCTTGTCAGTCATGCGCCCAAGACTTTCCTCGTCGAGGCAGCGGGTGTGGAATCAGCATTGGCTTCGGCAAGTCATTTCGGTTGCCAGCACTTAACGGATTGCCCAGGCTTAGAGATTCGCGATTACTCGTAAGCTCTCTTCGCGATTATTATCCCACAATACTACCACTGTATCATTGATCGCGCCAAGGAAAAACCTAATGCCCTGAAATCACTCGATTCAAGATACCTAGATACTTTCGGGCAGCCCACGACAGACGTGCTGCATGATACGCGATGGAGAGCTGCAAGGGGCATGTATCCCACGTCTTGGGTTAATGGTCAATGCGCTTGAGCTCCATGGTTTCCCCAGGGAAACGGCAATTGAAGAAGCGAAGTGCGACATGGGAGATCTGATGAATTCCAACGCTGGAGTCTCCACCAGACGACAAACACCATCATCCACAATGTTTGGAACAGCGTTCAGAAGTACGGAACATGGCTGGAACGGGACGAGTGATAGTGATGTTCTGGTGAGAGTCTAGGACCTTCCGACCTCGACCAACACGATGAGACAGCCAGCGGTGGGCTGGTGTCCGCCGCAGGCATTTGTGAGACTCGTTCGCAGCTGCATTGTGTCCATGCCGCCGCCCAGGTCGCCATGTGCCGTCTATCCTCCCGTGTCGCAAACCAGCCAGCCGCATACCGACATGTTCATCGTCGTGCGTCGCCTACCGTTCGCCAGTGCCCGCCAATGACCACAGGGAGAAATGCCGGCAACAACGTGCGATAAGCTGACCGGCGGTGAGATGCTGTTTTTGGGATGGGCAGTTGGTCAAGCTCGCCTTGTTGTCGCAGAGAAAACAACAGAGGAATGAAGGCGGGCTGTATCTTCTCGCAATACACGTGATCGCCCAACCTCCACTCTCGAGGTCTAGCAGGATTGGTGCAAGTATCAAGTGGCCTTGATGGCTCATTCCAAGTCTTGCCGTCGTTCCCCTCCTTCCAACCCCGTCCTCTCTGGCTCAGTCGATCACCCACGCACACACACTCCGGCCCTCCGACCCTCCGACCCCCCGTCTCACATGTGCCCATCATCACTACCTCTCGGATGGCCGCGAATACGGACTCGTCGCCATACGCCGAGCCACATGGTGGCAACGCCCTTCCACGCGTGTAGGCGCTCACAAGGCCCCCAGATGCCTTGAAGCGGTCTCCTGGTGCTGCGATTCTTACCAAAACAGCATAAACAGGGTTGGGTAAGCTGAGACGGGGTGGCAGCCACTACCGATTGCCAAGACGGGCACCTGATCAGCAGATCAGCTTTTCTCCCGCAAACCCCGTCCAACTTGGCCCTTGATGGTATGGTGTATCACTCGAAAATGACGGCAGAGCCCAGTTGGGAACCCACCAGATCGTCCCAAATCAAGGTGCAGCAGCCGCTAATCGGACCCATCATTGAAGCAACGCCGCCATTTGCGAAGGGGATCCTCTCCCCAAGACCCAAGCAACCAAGACACTCTAGACAAGCGCATCAGGCGTCTCCCATGCCGCCATATCGTGCACTACCGCCCCGCCCGCTCGACGCGTGGTTGGAGCATCGGGCAGCGAGAGGGGGACGTACATGTTGAGGCTGTCGACACTGGGGAGCCTCGATGCAAGGTCGAGTGCCTTGCATGGTGCGTCCCAAAACCGCTCGTGCCCACCACTGGCTTGCCGTCTTGCGTCTGGCATTGCGTCTGGCATTGCGTCTCCTCTTGCGTGCTTCTGTCGCGACATGTTTCTCCTCCCCTTCTCAGCCGGGTCTTTCCTCTTGTCTCTCTCGCTCTCGCGTGTCGGTCAGTCACCGCACACCACTTGACAAGTCAAGTGTGGACATCCTTTTGGTTGAAGCTCCAGCATGTTGCTCAGCCCGGGGCGGGTGACCGCCTTTCCACTTTCTCTTGTCATTCGAGTCTCTCGCCAGGCAAAACCAGGCAGCCTATCGCTTCACCTTGCCCAGCGTGACTGAGCTCCCCCTCTGATGGAGGTGTGCCCAACCGCCTCAGAAATGGGTGTGCCGCATTTCACTTTTCATATCCTGATGACTCCGCCCTAACCCCCCTCGTGTCTGGAGTTGGTCGGCATGTTGGATCTCACTTCTATAAGACTCCCACGCTCAGCTGCGCCCTCGTTTTCAGCTCCTCGGTTGGCTCACCCATTTTCATCACGTCGTACAACCAGGCTGCACCAATCGTGTTCCCCTCCCACTCCCCCCTTTTACATCACCCAGCTCGCTCTTGGAGCCGGTCACGCCGACCAAGGCCCCCCCCCTAGATGTTCTGTTATCCTATTGGCGATATTCCTGCAGGCACTCACTTCCCCGGATCATATATCAAAGCTAGCTTCCCACGGCCACTGTCCATCATCCCTTCTCGGCCACGCTCAACCTTCATCACCAACATGTCTTCACACTTTCAGGCCAAGCCACGGTGGGATGCCTGGCCACCAACCCAGGTGCGCCTCACGCCCTCTACGCCCAAGGACTACCCATCCCTGGACGATATAAACGAGGACCCTCTCAACTACTTTCTCACACCTCCCACCGACTTTGAGGACGCCAGCGGTGACATCGACATGTTTGACTTTGACGCCGGTATTGAGAGTCCGCACTCGTCGCACGACATAGTCCGCAGCGTCAGCCCTTCCAGCCTCGAAGGCCTCAGCAAGCCGGGCTCCCCACCGGTTCCTGATCTCTCTGATCTGGCCACACCCGACACGGACGACGAAGAGGAGAGTTACATGCGCTTCGCGCCCCACCACTTTGGTCTCCCATCTACCCTGCGAGACTTCATGATGGACAGCGAGAGGTCCAAGCAAAGCCAAGTCTCAAACTCTCCCTCGTCGCCCCTTGACGCCCCGAGGGGACGTTCTCGTGGCTCGAGGCCAGTAGGCCGCGGCCGACAGCCCAGCTTTGCCACGCGCCGCCGCTCACAGCAGGTCTGGCGTGAGCCCAGCCCCGACGTCTGGTCAATCGAGGAGGAGACAGAAGAGGCCATGAGCGAGCTCGGAAGCACCGTGGCCGCGGACAGCGACGCCGGAGAGGTGCTCGCCTCGGCGATGAAGAAGGACCGGACTCGGCCGGTAGACATACAGGCTGCGAAGCCGACGAAGAAGGTCAGGTTTGTCCTGCCTGCGGAGGAGATCTAATGGGAGAACGGGCAGTACAACAAGGCCGCGCTTCAGATTTCTTTTTTCCTTCTTTGCATGTTGGGGGGGGGGGGGGGTTCTCATTGCTTCCATTTGGCTTCATCTTCCTCTTTAACTACAGTAGGTAGTTTGCATGGACTTTGCGGGATGCATCAGGGGCGTTCAGGTTGAAGGAACATTTTTCCTACACCACTTCGATGGTTTCTGGGGGCAGGATTGGATGCCTCGAGATTGGTCTTTCGTCACCTAGTATCACGTACAGCGAGATGTGCCGGCATGCAGTATACACGGCGTTGGCATGCCAGCCAGAGCGATTCTGGAAATCACAACCACAGTTATCATAAAACCACTTGCTGCGTGTCCTTTTGTGAATCTGCCATGGTGAGGCTGCCTCCTGTGCGAACAGCCTCGCTGCCTATAGTGAGGACACCGACCGACTGCCTTCTGTGACTCCTTCGGTTGCCTGCCAGGCAGAGGCGCTCACCCCGTTTGCCCGTTGCTCGTCAATCGGTATTACTCAGGGTTCGCCACCGGGAAGAGGGTGGCTCAGTGAGACAAGGCAGTCATTCCGCAGAGTGGAAATGCCATGGCCGTTGTGCCCGTTCTGCGCCATACGAGGCTCAGCAGGTTCTGTGAATTCCCATCTGATGGCATCGAGATCTGGTATCACGCCTGCAGGTCCCGATGTCTGGGAGTTCCAGGGATGCGGCCTGGCGTGGGATGGGTGGTGACTTGAAGTTCAGGGCTCGTGTGATCAGCCTCGTAATTTCTGTTCCGGGGAATGAGACGAGCTGGCAAAAACAGGGCACAGGGGCTTTGGGGGCTGTCACGGGGTGTGGAAGAAGGGGGGGGCGGAAGGTAAAGTAGATGTGGTGCTCACCGAGGGGCCGTAGTCTCGGTCAAGGTGAACGCACGGCGAAATCTGGATACTGCGGGGCCGGTTACTTGGAGTGACTGAGGCGAGCGTTAAAGATTATGGGTTGCATTTCGGATCTGTGTATATAGCGTACTAGCTGATGCTAACGAACTGCTACGGTCTCATACACGTACAAGCACTCAAATAACGTGTGCTGCGCTTTCACTGTTGGCGACTCTGCTGCCTTGCGTCAATATAGAGGTATGACGTCCATGATGATGTGTACTTGGCTCATTTGTCGAGCTGTTGTCGACTTCGAAAAGCGCATGTTTGACTTTGGAGAGTCCTCTTCATAGATCCGGCCCTTTGGTATCTGCTGAACGCGCTATGGGCGTGCCGAGCAAGGGTGAGTATGCTGCACCCTATCAGAAAGATCAGCCAGCGCTAACGGGGTCTTGCGAGCAAGGCATCCAAGTCAACGGTAATTATTCAGCGCAACGAAGCCTGCTCTTTGGATACGCTTATATACTACGATACTACCATGCACGCTGAAGCTGCGTCAAAGCCGGCACATCGCCCTCTGCTTGGTCTTTAGAGTTGCCGACGGCCTAGAATCCTGATTTTCGGAGACCAGGCCAGCCGATGGTATAGGCGAGCCAGCTATGTCTCGTAGCGGGCGTGTGGTATTCTTCCCTGCCTTGAGACAAATGCGAAAGCATGCAGCATGTCAGACCCGACGGGTCCTGATGACTCGGACCTCGTAAAACGATCTCCAAGGCACGCGCGGTTCTAGTCTATTGCTGACACTGCCATCCCACGGCAGCTTTGCGTTCAGGATGATTAGCAGGACTGGTTGACTGAGTGTTGCAGCCTGCTGGCATGCTGCTGGCGCGTCGGTTTGGATGTAGCGCAATACAGTGATACGCAATGTTGATGATGGAACAGAGCCGAGATATGGCAAACTTGGACGAGTAAGACAACATTAGGATCGATCTCATCATTTCTGAATGTTATTTTTTGCTGTGATGGCTGTTACTGGACCATCGCCTCGTGTCCACGCCAGACAAAGAAGAAGATAAAGTCACGGCCGATTGGGCCGGGCCTTCCAGATGCACCGAAGATCAAGGCATTGTTGGCCCACCTGGTGGGCCTCCAGCGCCTGATTCGCCGTGGAACGACCCCTGTGCCTGTCATGGAGGGGCACTTTCGGGGGGGTAGGTCCCCACCAGAAGTCCAATGTTTACGCCCAAGCTCGGTTGTCACTGCCTATTGGCTGGTGCCCCGGCGACGACGACACGACGATGCAGAACTGAGGCAGAGCCGGAGCAGGAGCAGGAGCAGGAGCAGGAGCAGGAGCCAAGAGCAACAGGAGCTGGAGGGTAGCAGCAGCCTCGAGGGCAGGCGCAATGAAGTTGACCGGACCGTGAGGACGCAATCTCATGCAAGTCAACCCACCAGCGAGCCTTCTTCCTTGGAAGGGTCTTGCACTTCCATTTGTCTCGTTCATGTAGCAAAAGCAATCGGCTTGCCTTGTCAGCCAAACCTGTCCGCGTCGCCCGGCCGATCTGACCTGGCATCCCTTCTTTCTTCATTCCCCCTCCCCCGAAGACTGCTGCTGCTCATCCGTCATCTGGCCCGTCATCTGGCGATCGCACAGGACCCCAGACCAACACCTATAACTCCCGTAACTATCGCCCTGTGCGCCGCCCGTGGCACGCAAAGAACATCGTGCACTAGCCACTGCACGGCAGCATGCCGCTCAGATAACAATAGGTACGCCATCAGACGCATTCCGGCTCCCATTTCTCGGGTCTCTGTGTCCCCGGACGCTGCGACGCTGAAGGCCTTCTCCATTGTCCATCCGCGATAAAGTGTAAACGCACGAATGCGACTGACGTCAATGAACCCATCCAGACCATGTCTTCCACCCTCCCAGACGAGCAAGACTCGCTCGAGTCCACCTCACCTGCTACCCCGCGCAAGCCACCTCCTGCCGGGAACGACGAACATGATACTGCCACACCAAAGACTCCCGCCGCTGCTCGGGCGGCGGCGACCCCTCGGAGCGCTCCCGCCGCCGCTCGCGCGCGTGCCCTGAGCAATCGGAAGACGATGCAGGAGCCACCGACCTTGCTCGCCGACTTTCTTCTTGGCCGTCCCTCTCCCCAGCGCAAAGCTGCTGAGCGATCACGCCAGCGTCGCCAGAGCCTCGATGCCGTCAAGGCTGAGATGCGCCAGTCAAGTGTGCGCAAACTCCAACAACCTGGCGGCGTTCGCGACCGGGTCAAACAATGGCAGAAGACCAACGCCACCGCCATGGTCGCCGGCGACCCCGCGGCTACCCCCAGTGAGCCGACCGAGATTGCAAGTTTTCCCGACGAAGCCGAAAGCGTCAATGAAGACGACCGCGTACGCATCAAGACGAGGCAAAAGAAAAAGCCGGCGAAACCGATTGTGCACAACGATGCTGGGGCTACTAGTGCCAACGACGACAAGTCTGCAGATCGAGACCCGGGGTCGAAACGCTCGCGATCCAAAGGCCCGCCGAAAAGAGTCGTCAGCGATACGAATTGGATGGCCAAGAAGAACAAGAAAAACAGTCCACCACGGGCAAAATCACCACCGAAGGCCAAGCTGGCAAGTCCCAGCCCCGGCCCTATGCCGCTCCCCAAGGGCTTCTTACTGCGACCGTCCGTCAACCCGCCTGTATCCAAGAAGATCAAGGACTGGGCGGCAAAGGTTGAACTCCCAGCGTCACCACCTCCATCCGAGCACCGCAGGTCCAAGTCTAGGGGAGCCACCACAGATGGCGAGGGCGGGGACAATATCTCCAGAAGCTCATCCCGGCCGCCACCCTTAGACGATGACGGAATTCGTGTAAGACCGTTGAGGACGAAGATTTTGGAGGACGATGGAATACGCGTCAAGCCCTTACGGACACCTGTACGAGACGATGGCATTAGGGTCAAGCCGACTCGCGACACACCAGAAGCAGGCGGCTCATCTCACGTTTCATCGTCTCACTTATCGGCCGGCCGACCATCATCAAGCTCTCAGTGTAAGCCTTCGCCGACGCGAGACGACATTGTTGTCATGGATGAAGACGAGTCAGAGTGTATAGAAGTCATCGAAGAACCCGATTCCTGTCCAGACACACCAACAAGGAAACCTTCTGGAGAACGGCCCCGGAGAGTGAGCCGGAGACGAACACCACCGAAAAGACGAAACGACACGATACGAGATGATCAGTCGTGGATCAGCACTGACGATTCTGCCATTCGGGCCGGCATGGACTCGGATCTTGGCTCCAGTGATCTCACCAGTGCAGCTGGAGCCAAGTCCCTCGCAGACATCCCCGTTGGCTTCTCCGCTTTCAGTGAACTCGACCTGCCCAGTGGGAAGGGCAAGCGTCCCAAAGCGCAGCATAACCCTAGTTTCAAGGCTGTCCCCAATGTCTTCAAGAAAGTGGTGACAGAAGGCAAGAAGATTCTCCACGAAGCCAAGGAGCCTCCCAAACCCATCGTAGCGAATAAGCCTCCTAGTATCGAGAAGTGGCTGAGCAAGACTGTCGATCCTTTTGTTGAGGATGCAGACGGTAAAGGTTTGAAACATGTCGAGAAAATTTCAATCTCAAAGGAGCATTTGCGAGACACCGCGACCAGGAGACGATCTTCGGGAGAGAACAGGAGAAGAAAGTCATCGCCTCCTCCCAAGACGGAGCTCACCCAACTCACTGAGCTTACTGAAAGCACAGGGTTGACCGAGTCAACAGGGCTCACAGAGTCGACTGGGTTCACCGAATCAACAGGCTACACAGGCACGACGACCTCGACCGAGAACGACGAGAACAAAGAGCCTCGTCCGGAATCCGACGAAAAGAAAGCTCACAGTCCTGCTACGACGCCTACGTCGGCAGGTCTCAGACGACGAGCTGCTACGCGAGCCACGTCATCACCTCTCAAACCCGCAGGCAAGAAGCCGTTCAGAGAAGTGCTCAAAGAGGCCTTCCGGGGGGAGTCTGGTGCTCACTTTTTCACGCCCAAAGTCTACCCCAGCTGCGAGAGGGAACCTGAGCCGGACTATGACAGCTACGATGACGATGACTACTCGAGTCGATATGATGATCGCCGCAGACGGTCCGGTTCTAGTGGAAGCTGGACCGATGAGCCCTCATCTGTCGGCGACGGTAAGGCACAATCTATGCAGGGTCCCCGGCGGCGGCCCCCTACAAATGGTGTACATGAGCTTTCCACAATCGTAGGCTCCGTTGAGGGCTACAGCAGTCAGGAGTCAGACTTGACTTCCATCGTTTCCGACACGACTGTGACACAATCCACTGCCCTTACGAAGGACACGGCGGTCTCGCGGCAGAGGAGCCACACGTCCGGAACAAGCCTTAAGCGGAGACTGACCAAGCATTCCGACCTGGTGTCAGTGCTCTCGCTGCCCGATGACAGTCATGTGCCTGGAGGAGTGCTCAACACGCGATCCCGCCCGAGCTTGAGGAAAGGCAAAAGCCACACCGACTCAGTGATATCCGTCACGGTGGGCGACCTCATGCAGGAATTCATCGATGACGAGAATCTGTACCAACGAGAGCTGAAGACGCTCGTCGACGGCGTCATCCCAGTCCTGTTGACGACTGTACTAAAAGGCGACCGCAACAGCACCTCGGGGCTCTTCGGCCCGGGGTCGCCTGGCACGAAATCGACCGGACTTTCAAAAGCAGTCGTCAACATGGGCATCGCCTTGGAGAAAATGAAAAATGCCCATAGGAAGGCCTCTCATTCCGACATTGACCGCCTCGTGTCATGGATGCAAGCAGCCGCCCCAATTTATGACAGCTACCTCGATGCCTGGCGGCTTGGTTTCCAAGACCTCATCGTCAACCTTCTGCCTGCGGCTGGTCGCCTGGATGACGAGGATTCGCTTATCGGAGCCTTGCCGCGCAATGACGAAGGAGACGTGATCAACGAGAACGGAGAGAGGATTGACGTTGCGCATCTGTTGAAGCGGCCAGTGCTCCGTATCAAATTGCTCACAAGCTGGGCCAAGGTATGTGAGGAGATGTGCGCCAAAGAGGTCATCGCTGACAAGTGAAGGGTGCGCACACGCTGCTTTCGAACAACGACACGCTGGCTCTCGTGGGTGACTATGAAGTGCTGCAAGAAAAGGCTCGCCGCCGCCAGAAGGAAGAGTTGGCTCGCGTGACCGACGAAGACGCCTACAACACCGACACATCCAGGACAAGAGATCTTAGGACACTGGCACCCCTGGGCTCTATCAAGATTGACCCCACGAAGCAAGTCAGCGCCAAAGACCTCTTCTCCCTCAATTTGATCCACTCCAATGGCCAGCGGCTGGAGTGCCGAGTCGAGTTGGTACACAGAGATAACCCTTCCCGTCCGAACGACCAAGGAGACCTGCTCATCCGCGAAACTGGAGGCAGTCGCCAGACATGGCTTCTATTTCCTCCGGCACCAGAGTCTGCCGTGTCAGCTCGTAGGGGAGAAAACGATCTCGAGCTCGTAATCATGATTTCGGGTACCCACAATGGCAAAGCGTGGTACGAACTTCTGACATTGATGACCGATGACGAAGAGCAGGTTGACGACTGGCTCGACATTCTCGGCTCCACGCCTCTACCGCCGTTGTCCCGGGCGCCGATCATAATACAGGACTCGCTCCCCTCTACTTCCTCCCCCCGCACAAAGGCAACGGATGTACCTGTTGGCGGCCGATTGCGCGCCAGCGTTCCTCCCTCTCCAACCCGAGGGTCAGCGTCCCCCGAGCCTTCAACACCGGCGAAGCGACCAACACCGAGCAGATACCATTCCCGAGCTGCCAGCCTTCCAACCACTCCCATCACGGCCTCAGCGCCTGCTCTCCAGAACACCTCTCCAGACAGGACTCCTACTCAACAGTCCTACAACACTGCTCACGTCGAAAATGACCGCAGCCGCCCTCTTAAAGAAAGCATGCGCCCTGGGAACTTGTCGCTTGATGATGCGACTGCTTCTGATGTGTCCAGCGACGCTACTACCTATCGGGAAGACGGCGCTCCGCCCCCGCCGGTGCATCGCGAATTCTCCAAGTCGCCGGCCCCAGAGATCACCCTAGAGAGTTCTCGTATCAAGCGGCGGACTTCGTCTCCACTCAAACACGAATACCTGCCATCGGATCACTCTTCTGTGACCGACGACTCTTTCACAGAAAGCTCGGATGATGACTACTCAGACGACGACTCCGAAGATGGCACTGAGGTACCCGAGACAGAGCTTGGTGTCAGTATCAAGGATTCTATACCCCTTCCCGCGCCAGGACACCTTTTGGAAGGATCCATGGTATCGGAGTCTCTGTGTAGCGTGACCCCCTCCAGCTCGGCGTCTCAGGCCGGCCTACCAAGACGCAATTCCGGCACCCCTGACACCTTCACCAAGTACATCGCAACACTCTCTTACTGGTCCGACAAGAAGGGCGTATGGAAAGACATATCTGGCGAGCCGTGCTCCGTCATTGTAGGCCCCGGGATCATTGAGGCATACAGCCTCGTCATCGATCAAACAAACGCCGCTGAGGAACAGTCCAAGCCCCTCGTCGCCCTTGACCTCACTCCTCTGGTGCTGCTCCGTCAGTCCACAGTCCTTGATCTTGAGATCCGTTCAGCCGTGCAAGAGCACTGCCAACACCAAAACCTTGGAGGTGGCAATTTCCGCTTCCGCTGCACCTCCAGCACCGAGTGTTATAACCTTTACATGGCGGTTCACCACGCTCGCCTCAACAACCAAAAGTTCATTCAACTTGAGAACGATGCGCGGTTCAAGAACTTTGGCGAGAGGCAGGCTCCCGTTGAGCGTGACGACGACGGCAGTAGCCGGCGCCGTAGCTGGTTCGGTAGGAAGAACAGCTATCGTGCGTCGACCCGCGCGCCTTCGCAATCTCAGGAGGGCGGCAGCATCGCGCCGTCGTCGAGCATCTCGGCCGCCAGCTTCCTCAAGCGTCTCACTGGCGGCGGCAACCTCTCCTTCAATATCGCCCGATCCTCCGTCGACAAGAACTCACAGTACGGCAACAACAGCATCTACGCTTCTGAGTCGGGTTCCTCCGGCGGCGCTGCCTCTCCTCGGGCACCATCTCTATACTCGTCAGCACGAACAACCAACGGACAACCACTGTCGGCAGACAACATTCGCATCCGCCTTCATCTTCTCGTCACAGCGACCAAGTGGGAAGACTACGGTAACTGCAGCCTTCAAATTAGGCGACCGCCTCCAGGTTGGCACCAGGAACTCCGTGCCAACCACGGCCTCGAGAAGCGCATCACAGTCACCACGTTGCCGAGGAAGGACTCGGAGACGCCCCGGATCATCCTCGACGCCGTATTGGGCTCAGGGTGTTTCACGCCAATGGGGTCTCGCGGTATCATCTGTGGTATCTGGGAGGAGCTGCGCACAGCAACCGGCGAGGTTGGCATCGCGCCCGCGACAGGCGGCGCGGCGGGAAGCATCAAAAAGTGGTGTTTGCAGTGCGCAAGCGTCGGTGAAGCGCAATGGGTGTTGAGGCTTGTACACCAGGAGGTTATGCGGGCGTAATCTTGCCCATATTTCCTTGACTCTTTCTCCCTTTCCCCTGATACCAAGCCTGTTGTTCCCAGTTTTTGTTCACTTGTTTCAGCGAAGGATACCACGGGGTGTTTTCCTCTTTTGTACGACGTCTTGTTTCCATTTTCTTTGCCCCCTTTTTTTCTTTGTATTGTCTGGAGCGTTCGATACCAGGTTCGAGGTGATCAAAACCGACACCTAATAGCATTAGCATTGGCAGCGGCGCAGGAGGATTATTGCTAGCGGCGACCGCTTGGTCAAGCTGCCCGGGAGATGGCGGGTTGGAGGCATAGGAAGGACAGCCGAATTGTACATGTACACCTGGTCATCGGCTCACTGAAAATGGACGATGATTTAAAATTAAGCAAACACTTGTTCAACTGTGCCATGTTACATCTAGAATTCAGTAGCGCTGCATCGTCGCAGGGCTCTAAGATCGCTACTTGGGTATCTCTGTTATACAGGTTTCACTCCGTCGGCCTCGGCCTCGTCGCGACCAGGATACTCGGCAAGGTAGCCCTGCAACTTCCACAGCAGAAGCTGCGCCGGGATGGTCCGGCGTTTGCCGAGCACGAGAAGGGCGTTGTCGGCGAAGACGGGCTCGGCCCGCAACCGCGCGAGGTGGTCGTCGCCGAGAAGCCGGCGCAGGTCGTGGACGGGCATCTTGCCGTCGTACTTGGCGCCCTCAATGTCGAGCGTCGCCCAGGGGCCGGGCGTCGCGGCCGTGTCAGGGGAAGCGGCCTCGCCGGGCGACCACAGGACGCAGCCGCGGTGGGGCATGTCCCTGTTGATCTGGGCCCAGGACGCGCAGGGGCGCAGGTAGCCGCGGGCGGGGGCGGCGTCGAGACGGGCGAGGCGGAGCAGGGCGTCGACGGCGCGGGCGCGCAGCAGGTCGAGGACGAGGCGGTGCATGTGTGGCGGCCAGACGAGGCGCGGCAGCAGGCCGGAGCGGGCGAGGTGGGCGCGGCGGGCGAGCATGGTGATGTGCTTGCCGCTGAGGGTCGAGACGCGGCGGGGGCTGCCGAGGAGCGCGAGGACGTCGTGGCGGGCGAGGACGTAGCCTACGGGGGCCGAGGGGCGGCCGGCGGGCCGAGGGGCGTCGTCGGTCGGGGGACGGCCCTCTCGAGAGGAGGACTCTTGGCCAGGGGCCGGTGGCGACGGCGGCGTGTTTGGCGCGGCGGCGTTGGTGGTTCGGTCGCCGGGCACAAAGCAGGGCTGGCCTGTCTCGGGGTTCGTGACGGCCTCGAAGTCCTGG